CACCAATTTCTGATTGCCTTTGTCTCATTTCAAATTGCAAAGAGAGAGAATATTTTCAGATGTAAGGGCCTGATCCAAAACCCGGGGAAGTCAGTGGGGTCCAGATCCACCAAGGGACTATTGTGTGATTCTCACTATTTCTCTGGCTCAATTAATATTTAATTATTCCATTAAAGTGGAACAACAACAAAAGAGTAAGAGAGACCCACATCGAAACATCCCATAGCCCCATGGTTAGGGCACCCCCCTGAGATGCAGCAGATCCCTGTTCAAATCCCTTCTCTGTCAGGCAGACAGGGGATTTGGGTAGCAGTGGGGAACCACAACCCAAGTGAGTGCCCTAACCACTGACAAGCTCCAAAGCTTTTTATCCACAGGGCTTCCACCCGTCCCTCTGGGATCCCAGGCCGGTTCAGTGGCAGTGGGGTCTGGCGCCGATTTCACTCTCGCAATCAGTAGCTGATGATTCTGGAAATTATTACTGTCAGCACCATCTCAGAAGTGATACAGAGCAGTACAAAAACCTCCCTGCTTCCTTCAGTTTCTGTTCCTCACTGTAACTTCTCCTTCCTATACAGTGTGACAGAACCAATGCACCTGCTGTTCTTTCATAAGGAAATGGGGTCTGTCAGACTTTGGGCTTTTCATCCAATAGTCCTGTTGTTCTCTCCCATCATTTTACAGCTGTCACCAGGGGATATGGGAAAGACTAGAATCGATGGGGACAGACACTACTTTATCCTTAGGAACAGATCCTCAGCTAGTGTAAATCGATATATCTTCTGTGAAGTCAAGTGAACTAAGCTACTTTACACCAGTAGAGGATCAATCCCTTATTGTCACTGCTACTAAACAGTGCTGCACTTCAAAGCTGGATGTTACAGTGCAAGTCTAGCCGCTTCTTAATGAGCTTGCAAAGTGCAGAAATTATAGATCTCAGCTCTACAAATGAATGAGCCATCCAGTAAATAAAAGTTCAAAGCAGCAAACACTGTTATAATAAAATCAAAGCTGACCTTTTAAAAAGGTACCTACTTCACTATATTAACCTGTTGAAATGTTGATATTAACATGTTGGAATGGAGGTCATTCACATAGACACTTGTCTGGTTAGCAAGTGTCTAAAAGAATTCCAGCATATCCTCGTGTATCTTTATATGTGTGAGCATCAGGCCAAAATCTCTGCAAGCCTACATCCACTGAAGTCAATGCAATCACGGCATCAGAGAACGTGGTCCATTATGGGGGGAGGGATAGCTCAGTGGTTTGAGCATTGGCCTGCTAAACCCAGGGTTGTGAGTTCAATCCTTGAGGCGGCCACTTAGGGAGCTGGGGCAAAATCAGTACTTGGTCCTGCTAGTGAAGGCAGGGGGCTGGACTCGATGACCTTTCAAGGTCCCTTCCAGTTCTATGAGATATATGATATGATATGATATTCAATGTATTATTTCAAACCCTTCAAATAGCGCTACAGAACACTGTCATGGCCACTAGGTGGCAACACTTACCCATGCTGTTCTGCAGTATCTGAAATTTCAGCGAAGTCATCTATAACAAAGTTAACACGATAGTAAAATCGCTGCAGGCGTTTGGAAGGAATGCAGATAAATCAGTTGTACTGCCCCCACCCTCATCAGCTCTGCTCTTCAATATTCTCACCCCCTCCTCCCAACCTTCCCAACATCCACCATCCTCTGGCGCAAGGGACATGACTGGTGGACAGAGGTGTAATTTAGCCTCCCTCCTTCGCTCTCACTGAAAATGTCTGGTGCTAACAGGACCCTGGACAAGCGCCTACTCTCCTTAGTTCCTATTCTGCCTCCTGTCCCTTGGGAATCCCAGATCAGTTCAGTTTTAGTGAGTCTGACCCTGACGAAACTCCCACAACCAGTAGACTCAAACAGATGATGCGGGAGTTCATTACTGTCAGCATTACCATGGTCCCCAGCACTTTCTGCAGCCTCTTTCTGTCAGTACTTTAAAACTTCTCAACTCACAAACTGCAAATCTCAATTCTCTGTTTCTGTTGAATGGAAAATAGTCCACATTAGTCTAATGTTATCCTCAGCCCAGCCTCCCAACGTCTCTGTTAACTGTAAACTGTGAGAAGAGTTAGATTAATAGCAAAAAAACTTGGATAACCGACAAACACTCAAACGGTCTGTATGGGCCATTTCCTATTTTAGTTTTTTCTTAAAAGGCAAACTCTGCTTCTAGTATGTCAATCAGCAACACATTCTGTCAGTGCTAAGCCCAGAACTTTGAGGAAACTTTTGGGTTTCCGTAAGTAGAATAGGTTGTGTGTACTCAGTATGGGAGCTAGAGAACTAGGCTATGCCCAGCAACCTCAATAAAGCTTCCCCTTCACATCCACAATAACAGAGTGCCTGTCTCTTCTCTGCTCTGTCACATGACAACACTATTCTCTTATCCGTCTGCTCCCATCAGTTGACACGATGGAGGAAAAATTAGAGAGAGAAGTAAAGTTGTTCGGTAAAGAACATTTTTGCTCTTAGCCAATTTAAAGAATGATAATGAAAAAAAACCCTAACAAACAAGGCCCATATCCATCTCTGACTTAAGCTGACATAACTGGAAGTAAATCTATTGACTTTGGCTCCTAAGGACAGCATGAAACTCTACATTGACAGTCCATCAAATACTCCACAGACAGGATCCCATCATTTAGATTTTCCTCCCTCTTAACCTGTAAAAACATGTAAAAGGGAAGAAACATGCAGTAGCTAGCAGTCATCATGGCTGATGAGTTAGAGTGTCCCAGTACCTCTGGAACCCAGTAGGTCTGTGTAGCAAAGCCCCGTAGAACTGACGTGTGCCAAGCACAATGTATGTTACTTCATATCTACTGCTTTTTGTGCACAGATCTAAAAAATGCTGTACAGTACAGGGTCACTATTGTTACGGATAGGAAAACTGAGACAGGGACGGGGAAGGCACTTAGACAAGCTCTCCCAGCAAGGCAGTGGCAGAGCTCATTGTCCGTCCAACCTGAATACCAGCAGAAAAGCCTTCAGTGAGATAATGCAGCCTGATGCAACATTAACTCTTCCACAGTTCCCCTGTGTCGTGGGGAAACGGCCTTGGAAGTCGGGTCCCAGAAGACGGTGGCCAGGGGAAGCCTTGGCAGCCCAGTGGGTCATGGCTGAGGGACAAGAGCACACTGCCCTAGAGGCAGCAGAGAAGCACGGATTCCCCCACACACTGATGACCCCGACCGAGTGTATGTGCGGAAACCTGGGGCTGGATGTGCTGCCTCTTCTACAAGGGATCCCAGCAACTGAATGGATTGGAGACAGCTCTAGGAGAGAATCCTTGCACCTTTCTTCAGAAAAACCTCTACGTGTTTAGATCCCGTTCAACTCACAGTCCCTTAAAGCCTCTAATATCCCACCTCTCTGCCCAGGAATAATTATAACTACATGGGATGAATCACTGTGAAATTAAAGATCCTTGTGAAGACCCCTCTGTGAATCTGCTGAAGGCCCAAGCTACCGCTGGGGCCACGACACACATATTGGAGACACACACTGGAGATCCACATCCACACTGGAAGATGATTTGAGAGATGTCTCCTTGATGGAGAGAGCAAGCAATCACAATAGTCACTTCCCACAGACAAACTCTTCCATCCTTTGGAGCCATTCGTATCTGGGATTTGGGTTCAGGCCTAACTCTTAATTTAACGGTGAAAATATAGGGCCAAGCTCTATCACTCTTAGGCCTGAGCTACTCTTAATACTTCTCACAGCCCAGCTGTGCCAGTATGAGTGTGATTTTTCACCAACATAGGTATGTTACTAATAAACCTAGTGTAAATTCAATTATGCAGGGATAGAAGTACTTTGGGCGGTATAAATTATTTCTCTCGGAGAACTGGTGTAAACTGTGCTGGCAGAAGGACTTTTTAATCAGGGGTTACTGACAGCTACTGTCATATTACTATAGTGCTTATTCTGGTTAAATAAAACCTTAGTAGTTTTTGAAACCCAGAAGTTGGAAGACCTGAAGGGATCTGCAGGGCCCTGGAAAGAGAGTTAGGGCTTTTAACCAGGATCACCTGATGTTCACAGGCAAACGTCCTGAGAGGAAGTTCAAAGGGGTAAAAGGGCTGCACTGGTGACCCAGCGACACCCGTGTTGAACAAGGTGTGTGTCCTGGAAGGGGTTGATCGTGACACTCACACTGAGTAATACCTCACCCCACAAGCAGTCCCACTGATATCAATAGAGGGATAGCAAAGTAAAATACCACTCAAAACAAGCTTCTTAGATTCTGGCTCAAAGTTACCAAGGATACAGACACACACACACTGGGTATTGCATTAAAGCATATCTTGATAACAAGGCCAAAGCCAACTCCCTGTGTGCAATACTCAGCTCCATCAACAGGAGCTGCACTCTGAGGCTGAGGGCTATACGAGGCCCTTTCTTTGCACTGGGACACAGGGAATGGACCTTTACACAGAGTGGCTGCTTTGCATGTTTCCACCCACACGACGGTTCCTTGCAATGCAGGGCACATATAAAAGTGTTATTTGCTAGACTTGCTACCTTAGATTCTCACGGTCTGTCAGACTAGAGGGAGCAAAATGATTTCACAGATTCATCTCATCTGTCTCCTAGGTCTCTGGATTCAGGGTAAAATCAAGGGAGATACTAGATTAAGATGATAATCTCTCCCCAATATTTATGGTATATTTCTTCATCAAACCTACATTAAATTCTTCATCCCATGAGATCACAGGCAGATAGATTTCTAGTGGACACAAACAATGTAACTAGGTGGTTAAATAAAAATTAGACACTAGATATTTGCAGATTTATTTTTATAATAGTATTTCATTTGTTTATTCTTGTGTTTTAACTCTAATCCAGATGCCAGTGGGCAGACTGTGATGACTCAGACTTCAGAATCCCAGGCAGTGTCTCCAGGAGACAGAGTCACCATCAACTGCAAAACCAGTACCAGTGTTAGCAGCTACATGGCCTGGTACCAACTGAAATCAGGACACGCTCCTAAGCTCTTCTTATATAGTGCTTCCACCCGTGTCTCTGGTGTTCCAGACCGGTTCAGTGGCAGTGGGTCTGACACTGACTTCACCTTCACAATCAGCCACGTAGAAGCTGATGCTGCTGGAGATTATTATTGTCAAGGCTATAACTCTCACAGTAATACAGACAAATACAAAAACCTCCCTGCTTTCGTTGGTTTCTGTTCCTTACTGTAACAGCTGTTGCCTGTAGAAAGTCAGAGTATTCTCTCCAACTGCTGCTGCCTCAAAGTGATGGAGTGTCCATGAATTTCAAACACCTCACCCCAATGTCCATGTCTTCCTTCCATTTCTACAGCTCCCTCACTGCAGTAGCGCAGAGACTGGAATTTACAGGGTGATTCTTAATATACTCAGTGGCTTCCTTTTAACTACTGAGGAGTATTAGCTCTTATAGGCTGGATTCAATTTCCTACTAACATTACAAAAAAGACCAACGTATAAAGGATCCAGAAATTACTTTCATAAGCAGAATGAGCAGAGTGACTGCCTCCCTCCCCATACAAGCCCCCCTTTCCACAACATGGTGCATGCATGTCCTTAAGGCTGGTCTCAGATGGGACAGAGAGAAGGATTGTCTACACTACATTTCCTCAATCACTTCTCTATGGTCCAATAATCTACAGCTTCTGGTCCTTATGTCAGACAATATCAAATAGGAGAGAAAAAGAGCTGACCCCAGTTCAGTTTCTAGCTTGTAACCATTGCACATCCTCACCACCAAGGATAAAAGGATTGCAGGCTGTGGCTAGTAGTAAATCATCACACTTCTCCTGCCTTTCCCCAGGCCCTTCCCCAGATAGCCCACATACACTGACATACCTAGATTCCCTGCAGTGATGGTAGTGTTTCAGTGTATGGCTTAATAGAAACACAGAACAAACAACGATAGTATTTGCTTAGGTCAGAGCAACGACCAGACAAACCCTCCCAATAGCACTATCATCCCATTTTACAGAAGGAGCCACTGAGACCGAAGGGTGCAGGAATGAGCCTAGAAGAGTTCAGTATCAAAAGCTTACGGGGTCTATTTCCCATCTAGTCCACTAACTCACCCTTGGATGCAACATTTCTCTCTGCCTCAGTTTACTCATCTTCTAAAACAAAGATCTCTCCCTTTACAATGTATGCTCCTCAGGACAGGGGACGCCAACACTTAATTACTAATCAGTTGTTGGACAGAATTGTTTAGCACCACGCTCCTTTTCCACAAACATGCAACTGAATCTACCTTTTAAAGGAGGGAGAAAATAGCTCATTGGGTCAAAATAATATTTGACTAATATTACTGATTTCATCAAATAGGTTAAATACCAGATTGAAGCAAAGGACAGACTTGGAGAGGGATGGGAATTTTCTGACAAAATGGTTTTTCATCAATTCAGCAGAACTGAAACTTTTCGCAGTGTGGGTGAGGATGAGCAGGGATGGCACAGACTGGGCTAATCAGGATTTACCTTTGCTAACTGAGGATTCTCCCTGTTTGAAGACCCTCACCCCCCAGTACTGTTTCTCTGTCAAAGGTGGATCACACCATTTTGTATCACCAGTTGTGAGGAGATCTCCAGTGTAGCTGTGATATTAACCAGAAATCACAATATGCTTAGAACTTTTATTCCTTGTAATCCCAAATAAATGTCATTTTAACACAGACCCTTGTACCCAGGAGCGACTGTTGAACTTGCCTATGTCACCCATGGCCCTTTCATTTCCCTTTTTGTACATGTTCATGGACCAGGTGTGAATTTTCATCTCTGAACCCAATTTGCATATTTCACACCCTTCCCCTGTGGTGCTGAATTGTTATAAATGCTCCGTATCACTCGTTACAGTTTGTTGATCAGCACTGGACCACTCACACGTATCAAGATGATCTCGCAGGCTCAGCTCACCTGGCTGTTAGTGCTCTGGATTCAGGGTAAGGATTAAACCCAGAAGGAATTTGTAAAAATGATCCTTTGAAAAGCTTAAAAGAACGAGAAATGTTGTACATTGTAGATTATAGTTTATGGGTCAATCAAAATCCATTTAGTTAGCTAGCTCTTTGTGGCAGGGACTGTCACTTATTGTTTGTACAGCATCTGGCACAAACGGACCAAAACTGTTAGAGGCATTCAGGGATTACCAAAATATTAATGTTAAATAATAAACAGTTGCCAGGAATTACTCTGATTTATGAAAATCTGTATCTTATTTTAGCTGGAATTAAGACAAAGAGGTTTGAGAAAATTACGAGCCGTAGGCAAAAGGGCTAGAATGAAACAGTGTCTGGTGCTCAATGTTACCATCATGCCCAGCTGACTAGGAAGAGTCATTGTGTAAAGATTCACATGGGAATATTTTAAAGGCACAATGTTGTTTAGTTTGATTGACTAGATCTGTATTTGT